ACTTGAGTTTTGTGCAAGGCTACAGACATGGGTCTATCTGCAGTCTTCACACCATCATCCAATTGTCCCAGAACCATTTGTTGAAGATGCTTTCCTCCCCACATTGTATTCTTTGGCTGTTTTGTAGAAAATCAGGTGTTCATAGGTGTGTGGGTTTATATCAGGATTTTCTAATCGATTTCATTGGTCTACCTGTCTATTTTTGTGCCAATACCAGGCTGTTTTCCGAACTATAGCTCTGTAGTAGAGCTTAAAGTCAGGAATGGTAATGCTTTCTGAAATTCTTTTATTGTACAGGGATGTTTTGGCTATCCTGGGTCTTTGTTTTTCCATATAAAGTTGATTATTATCCTTTCAAGATCAGTGAAGAATTGTGGTGGGATTTTAATGGGGATTGCATTGAATCTGTAGATAGCTTTTGGCAAGATTACCGTTTTTACTATATTTATTCTACCTGTCCAAGAACATGGGAGATCTTTCCATTTTCTGGTATCTTCTTTAATTTCTTTCTTTAAAGTCAGAAAGTTCTTATTATATAGGGCTTTCGCTTGTTTGGTAAGTTTTACCCCAAGATACTTTATGCTGTTTGTGGCTATTGTAAAGGGTAATGTTTCTCTGATTTCTCAGCCTCTTTGTGGTGTCAATAATGTAGGGTACTGATTTTTTTGAGTTCATCTTGTATCCTGCTAATGTGCTGAAGGTGTTTATGAGCTGTAGGAGTTCCCTGGCAGAGTTTATTGGTTCACTTATGTTTAGCCATTTTAGATTCTTCTGTTGATATTTCTCTTTTTCATTCTGTATCACACTTTTTATTTGGATTATTTGGTATTTTTTGTAACTAACTTCTTGTGTTCTTTTTTTTATTATGGAAACCAGCCCTTTGTCAGATGTGAGGTTGTTGAAGGTCTTTTCCCATTCTGTGGGCTGCCGTTTGTCTTGTTGGCTGTGTCCTTAGCCTTACAGAAGCATCTCAGTTTCAGGATACCCCATTATTAATTGTGAATCCCAGTGTCTGGACTACTGGTGTTATGTTCAGGAGATTTCTCAGTACAAAACTGTTAAAGGGTATATTCCACTTTCTCTTCTACAAAATTGAGTGTGGTTGGATTCATGTTGATGTCCTTAATCCCTTTGCACTTACATTTTATGCTTGGTGATAGATATGGATCTATCTGCAGTCTTCTCCACATACATGACAGCATTCAGTTCTGCCAGCACAATTTGATAATAAGATTACTTTTTTCTATTGTAAAATTTTAGGTGCTCATCAAAAGTCAGGTGTTCATATGTGTGTGGGCTAATATCAAGGGTTTCAATTTATTCCTTTGGTCTACCTGTCTATTTTTGTCTATTCCAAATCCAAGCTGCTTTCTGGACTGTATCTCTGTAATAGAGCTTGAATTGTATAATTCTGCACGGAAGCCATTTGGCCCTGGGCTTTTTTTCTTTTCTTTTTTTTTTGGGGGGGGGGTTGGGAGGCTTTTGGCGATGGCTTCTATTTCATTAGAGGTTATAGGTCTATTTAAATTGTTCTTCTATTCTTGATTCGATTTTGGTTAGTGATACCTATGGAGAAATTCGTCCATTTCCTTTGAATTTTCTAATTTTGAGGAGTAAAGGTTTTCAAAGTTTGATCTGAAGTGTCTCTGGATTTCCTAGGTGTCCATTATTCAGTCCTCCTTTTCACATGTGCTTTTTCTAATTTTCATCCTCTCTCTCTCTCTCTCTCTCTCTCTCTCTCTCTCTCTCTCTCTGCTTTTTGGTTACTTTGGATAAAGGTTTGTCAATCTTGTTGATTTTCTCCAAGAACTAACTATTTGCTACATTGATTCCTTGTGTTGTTCTTCTAGTTTCTACTTTATTGATTTCAGCTCTAAAATTTATTATTTCATGGCATCTACTCCTCAGGGGTGAGTTTGCTTCTTATTGTTCTAGGGCTTTCAGTTGTGCTGCTAATACTCTAATGTGACCATCCTCCATGTTATACATTTGGGCACTAAGTAAAATAAACAAAAAGTGTCCCATAAGTTTGGGTATATTGTGTCTTCATTCTCGTTGAATTCTAGGGAGTCTTTAATTTCTTATTGCTTCCATGACCCAGGAATGGTGTAATGGTGAATTGTTCAGTTTTCATTTGTTTGTTGGGTATCTGCAATTTGTGTTGTTGTTCAATTCCAAATTTACAGCATGTAGGTCTGATAAGATACAGGTGGCTATTCCAATTTCTGTATCTGTTGAGGTTTGCAATATTGATGAGCATGTGACATAACTTATGTTAGTTACTTTGTTTCTTCGCTAATTTTCTGTCTTCTAGTCCTGTCTACTTGTGATAGTGGGTGTTGTCATCTCATACTATAAGTGTTTGATGTTTATTGAGATTTGAGTTTTAGTAATGTTCCTTTTATGAATGTGGATGTCATTGCATTTGGAGCATAGATGTTTAGAATTGAGACTTTGTACTGATAGATTTTTCCTGTGATGAATATAAAATGACCTTCATCATCCCTTTTGATTGTTTGGTTTAAAGTCTAATTTATTTTAAAGTTGATCCCAGTTTCCTCTTGCTCCCTTGCTCTCTCCCTTGTCCCCCAACGACACTCCCATCCCATCCACCCCCACTACAAAGGAGGATGATGCCTTCCAGGATGGATCATTAAACCTGTCAAGTCATTTAGAATAGAGACTAGTCCTTCCTCCCGTCTCTAGGTTAAGGGAGTATCCCTCCATGGGGAATGTGCTCCCAAAGTCCTTTCATGCACCAGGGATACATCCTGGTTCCACTGTCAGAGGTCCCTAGACTGCCCAGGCTTTCTAATTCAGACCCATGTTCAGGGGGTCTGAGTCGGTCCAATTTTGGTTTTCCACCTGTCAGTCTGGGGGCACATTAGCCCCTCCTGGTTCAGGTCAGCTGTATCTGTGGGTTTTTGTAGCCCAGTCTTGACATCCATCTCGGCATCTGGATTCTTGTTCAGCTCAGTGTTTAGCTATGGGTGTCTGCTTCTGTTTCTATCAGCTAGTAGAAGAGGGCTCTATGATAGTACATAAGTTAGTCATCAATCTCATTATCAGGGAAGGACATTTAAGGTATCCTTCCACTGTTGCACAGATTTTTAGTTGGGGTCAGCCTTGCCAGTCTCTGGACATTTCTCTAGAGTCACTTTTCTCTTCAAACTTATAAGGGCACCCTCTTTTATGCTATCTCTATTTTTTCTCTCTCGTCTATTCATCCCTGATTCAATCTTCCTAGTCCCACAAGCTTTCCTCTCCCCCATTTACTTTCTCTTGGCTCCCTCTCCACTCACTCCTACCCTCCCCCCCCAAATCCCAATATGCTCAGGAAGTCTTGTTCCTTTCCCCTTCTGTGAGGGTCCATGTATGAATCTCCTACTTTCCTCCATGTATCCTAGTCTCTGGCTGTATGAATTATAGGGTGGTGATCATTTTCTCTATGTCTAAAATCCATATATGTGTGAGTACATACCATGTTCTTTTTTTTTTTGTGACTGGGTTACCTCATTCAGGATGGTTTCTTCAAGTTCCATCCATTTGCCTGTGAATTTTAAGATCCCATTGTTTGTTTCCCTGCTGAGTAGTACTTCATTTTGTAGATGTGCCGCATGTTATTTATCCATTTGTCAGTTGATGGGCATCTAGGTTGTTTCCATGTTCTTTCTATTACAAACATTGCTTCTACGAACATAGTTGAAGAGATGTCTTTGTTGCATGGATGTGGATCATTTGTGTGTATGCCTAAGAGTGGGTTTGCCGGGTCCTATGGTAGACTGATTCCCATTTTCATGAGGAAATGTCATACTGATTGCCAAAATGGCTGTACAAGGTTTCACTCCAATAAGTAGTGGAGGAGTGTTCCTTTTACTCCACATCCTCTCCACCATAAGCTGTCATTGGTATTGATAGAGACTCTTTTTAAAAAGCAAGTTTGAAACAAACAGTCAAAGGGAAATCATGAGAATTAAGACCATGACCATGAAGAAATAACACTGCTCTTATGGCCGAGAACTTGATGATAGATAGGTCAGGATACTAGGTCAAGGTCAAGTACTACTGTTCTCCTAAAGAAACTCAAAAGTTTTCTAATGACATTATGCTATACTCATAGAATGGTCCTTTACTTGGTTCTCTTCAGAGAAGCTCTTTCCATGTGCATGAATAGGGCACAAGAGACACCATGGAAATGTCAGTAATAAATGGCAACTCAGTAGAAAGGATGCAGGAAGATTAGAAAGAGAGTTAACTAATGCCATGACTTAAATCTGTTAAAGTACCAAGAATTCCTTTTAAATGAACATCAGACTATTGAATTATGTCAAAATGTAACAAAGTTCTATATTTTGTTAATTTTTTGTAATAAAGAACATCATAAACTTAATTTTAATGCAATTTGTATTAAACAAAATGGATTTTTATCAAAATTTAGGGAATTATTTTTCACGAATGATCCAAACAGTTTAGATAAGCTTCCATCTTACATTTTGTTTGAGGTCATAGCTTAATAGCATACAAATAAATTCCAAGTATGAGAAGAGTGTTGCTGCAATAATTTTTTCCAAGCTCCAAATTCTTCGTTTCAAATAAAATTGTAATGCATTTCTCAGAAGAAACACATAAAGGCAAATCTACAACATAAGTTAAGCTTTTTGAAATATTTGTCAACAATTTACAGAGAAATATGTTGCAACACAACACAAAATTTAAAAGAAGGCATATCTGTGCTTTCATTATTCCAGATCCTTATCTCTAGGATTTCCCGTTTGCCAAACAGAAATTTACTTCTGCATTGAAGTTTCTCATATTTCATCCATTCTGTACAGTTACACTTTCCAATGCAGACGCTGCTGTGTTAGACACAGCATTATATGTTCCAGACAACTTTCCAGAGAAAGTTAATATTTGGAGAAGCTAGTCTCCAGCCATTTTCTGTGTCCTTCTGCGCCCCCTGCTGCTGCTGAGCATTTATGCAGGGAGGTTTGTGTCTGGGCTCACACTGTAGCCCCCTCACTGTGTATAACTTTTACACAGTAGTAAGTGGCTGTGTCCTCAAGCTTCATGCTGTCCATTTGCAGGTAGAGGATGCTTTTGGAATTATCTCTGGAGATGGTGAACCTGCCATTCACTGATGAGCTGTACTCTGCTGTGTAGCTGTTAGCTTTGTTTCTACTCACTGCAATCCACTCCAGCCCCTTTCCTGGAGGTTGGCGGATCCAGTTCATGTAGAAATCACTGAAGGTGAATCCAGAGGCTGCACAGGAGAGTTTCAAGGAAGCTCCAGACTGCACCAAACCTCCTCCAGACTCCACTAGCTTTACCTCACACTGAATACCTGCAATAGTAGAGAATTCTGATCAGGAGAATGTTACACACATTCACTGTCTCTCTTATTCGTGCCCACTTCCTAACCATGTTCCCACACACTCATCATCCTTTGTCTCATAAAAGACCTTTTAAAAGAGACACAAGGAAGATGCAGATCAGCCACAACTTCATGTTGAGAGGTCTGTGTTCAGTACTGATCCCTGAATTGGAAGACCAGGGAACTCAGGAGTGGACTCCTTTGCTAGAGCTGCAGGGTTAGTTCTGGGCTGGATTTTATGAGGAGATGGAGCCAAATTTGCATTCCTTCCTGATATATCATGTGCTAGGGGTAAAGAAGTAGAAGAGGCAGTTATTCGTACAGAATGCAGATGTTAAAGGCATGAGTTAACAGTATAACAGTATTCATAACTACTTTGTTTATTATGTGTATGTGATTAAATTTAAATGATTTATTGTGAGTTAATCATGTCTGCAAATCTCTGCATCACAAATATAATTAAATATTATTTTGAAAATTTAAAGAGAATGGATATAAAGTTGAATTAATGTTAAGTAGAAATATTAAAATCTAAAAAATCCTTTGTGGACTTTATGCACAAGTATGTAAACTTGATCCCCTTTTACAGTGAATATGCACTGAAGAATTATGACTGTTCTCCAGAATCAGCCTTTGTTAAGTGACAAAACTATTCAAATACCAAGTGAGTTTACACATTTGTTGGAGCAAGTCAACATTTTGTTGGGGTGTGTTTATCATCCTTAGACATTAACTCACCCTCCATTTCAATACCCTTAAAGAAAGCAGATTCCATGTCTGGGACCACCAAGCTTTCTCCTGCCTGAACTCTAGGCTGTGTTGAGGTGCACTTCCTCCCATCTGGACCCCTTGAAGATGTGGCATTTCCACAGAGTTTGGCCAATAAGTCACTGGATGAGGAATCTTGAAATGACACCCTACATGAGAAGAAATGTTGAATTAATATTTTTCTCAATATGAATTTATTCTCTATGAAATAAACCATCTTCATGGTGGGTTTTGTGTCCTGTGGATTGTGGCACTCATGTTTCTGTAGTTTTACGAGGAAAGTAACCAATGTTCAAAGAAATAACTCCAGGTTTGCAGATGTTTTTCCAGAAACTTCAAGGAAAACAGCACAACTCCTTAGTGTCTTTCACAGTTTTTCTTTATTTAAAGAAATAACACATTAAGCACAAGAAAGGAAGCCAGGTACACATGAACAAAGGCTCTTACTGGCCACTGTCTGAAACTGCTCCTCCAATTCCTGCCATTAGTCATACCTGGGGACTAGCACAGCCCCTCAAGGGTTGCCAAGGAATGACATAAAGGAATATATTGAAATTTTATTTCTAATTTTTCAGAACAAATTTACTGATTTCTAAAATTGCTGTAACAGTTCACCTTCCAACAGCAATGCAAAAGGATTCTGTTTCTTTGTAACTGCAATGGATATGACATGTATTTCCTTTTTTTCTGCTTTTACAGATAGGATTTATCTGTGTAACAGTTCTGTCTATCTTGGAACTCAATTTTTTGACCAGGGTGGGGGGTTGAACTCACAAAGATCTGCTTGCCATTGCCACCCCAGTGCTGTGGTTAAATGCATGCTCCTGCATTGCCCTGAACCATTTGTTTTCTTAATAACATACATCCTGAATGGAGAGGTATGGGTGCTGCCTGTTATTAAGTAACACTTGTTAAGTCCACAAACTGTTAAACACAGTGTGTCTTTACAACTTGTGTGAAGCAAAACTACAGGTACAGGAAATATCAGAAAGTGCAGAGGTCCACACATGTCCAGTTTTATCCCACTGCTATGATGAAGCTTCTCTCTTTTCTTGTAGATCAATGAGTTACTCAATGATTAGTATGTAAAGCTAAATGAATTATTTTCCTCATTGTTAAAAAGCATATACAAAATTTCATTTTAATCACATATTTTCTGAGCTATAACTACTCTCACACTAAATATTTTTCAATGAAAATAATTGCTTTCTACTTAAAATTGGTTGCTAAATGTAAAACAAGAAATTAACTGTTCTTTGCTTGAGAGTAGTGTGCTCATAATTATTTGCTTTATTTCTATACTCAGCAACCCACTACAGGCTCTCTCCTGGAGCCTGGAAGACCCCGTTTATCTAGTAGTTAAGAATAAAAATCCAGAGCCTGAACAGGGAACTTTCAGACTGGACCAAGCCTCTCTGGATCATAGTCAGGTAACCTGGTCTCATGAGTCAACACTGGCCCTTACAATATCTAATATAAAACTGGTTTGTGGTTCCATTCCTGACCCAACACATTCTGCATATGAATGCATCTGTATGAAGACATGGCATTCATATTTGTCATATGGATGGAATGGCTGATAGAGGATCATGCAAATTTAAGTTTCAAAAATTAAAAGTTGTCAGTCACATCAACCCAGTGAGGTCATCAAGCAGCACAGCATTTACCCAAAATCAGACGCTCTATAGAACAAATGTGACAAATAAAGGGCTGTTAGGGATTATGCTGTATCATTGACAGTCTTTGTTCTATCAAGGTTGAGATGGTAGAGAAGGCAGAAAATATGAGAACAGAGAATTATGCACAATCTCAGAACATAGTCTCAATTAATATGTACATGCGTTAGCTCAACCTATGAGATTCGTTAAAAATATTTAAATAGAATTTTAACCTGTGCCTCAGGGTTTTATTGCAGTGCAGAGACACAATGACCCTAGCAACTTGTAGAAGACATTTAAATGTCTCATAGTTTTAGAGGTTTAGTCCTTTACATTCGTGGTGGGAAGCATGGCAGAAATGGTTCTGGAGAATGAGCTAGAGTTCTACATCTTAAAAAAAACAGGCAGCAGGAAGTGAAGGAAGAAATCAATACCCAACCCCTTGTGATACACTTCCTGCAGCATAGCCACACCTACTACGACAAGTTCTCAACTCCCAGTACCAGGCTCTGTGAGCCAGCAGACCCCATTTTCATTCAAACCACCAAAACCAACTTGTACGAATTACACTTATGTGACAATACTTTATGATAATGAAGGTCTCTTACTTTGTAAGGCTGAAACTTTGCTGAACCACACAGCCAGAGTGAATAATATACTTTGGGGTCATGAATGACTTAGGGTTCATATATGACTTAAGACTGCTTCCTTACTGTCTACTCAGCCCTTTTCTTTCATTTACATTAATGAGAATAATGTAATAACCAATCTTATTTGCCTTGAATTTCCCATGTAATGAATTTTTACAACCAAAGACAATTTAAAGCTCTATTCTAAAGTTATATCCTCTTTTATTTTCCCAATACAAAACTAATGCGTTGCATGTTTGTATGGAAAATAAAATTTTGAGTAAATCTTATAAAATGAAAACAAAGAGGAGTTGAAGACAGCATACTGATATTAATTGAAGACAAAAGTGAAATATGTAGTATATTAGATTCAGTTGGAATCAGGCACATGGGTTCACTTGTAAAACTTTGCTCAACATTTCTGTAAATAGCCCTCATTTCCTCTCCCAGTGGTTTTTGTGTTAGTTGTTGGATAAATGTAGGGAAAAGGTCTTTGAAGGAACACCTGGACACATACACACAGACACACACACACTCAGACACATACACACAGACACACACACACACAGACACAGACACACAGACACACACACACACACACACACACACACACACACACAGGTAAGGAGAGAAACATCGATACAGAGACATAGAGAAAATCACAGAAACAGACAAATATTAAGACTCATGTAACAGACAGACATGGACAATAGGAGACACAGAAAGAATGAAATTTGAGTGCCAATGATCATTAAGCTTTGTTTTCTTCTACTGTACTGAGACACTTTCAAGCTAATTAAAATACCCCAGTGGTGTATAAAGATTATGATTAAGTTGATATAAGAGTTTCTAGCTGATGAACAATCAGTTCCTATAGTACCTTGACCTGCACTAAGGCCCTGCAGACAGCTATATTCTTTGTTCCAACATACAAGTTCTTAATTCTTAAGGTTCTACAACAAGAGAAGTATCTTCTGGAACCTGTGGTCTTGAAAAAGTTCAGCATTCTCAAGGAATATCAGACAGAAAAAGCATATTTCTGTATTCATTGGAAGAGAAATCATGCAAGCAAAAGTGTGTATAATGAACACAATGTATGGTGCATGTTAACTTGACTTCCACAATTCTACTTTAACAAGCTTTGAATAGCCCGTCAAAGTAATATATACACAGATACTCAAAATCAAGTCTTATACTATACTACAAACTTTTAATCCAGATAACATTTCATGGAACTGAAATGCATTTGAATGATGATCGCATTTACAACAAATCTAGGGCACCTGCCCCCTGATATGTATCTTATTTTGAGAGACTAATGTTTGTCTACACGTTACATGTGAGTACACAGAGTGATCCAGTCATGCTTTTATAGCTAGGGTCTGCTAGGATATGCCACAGCTGTTTTCCACCGAGCTTGTGTATAGCTTAATGGACAGTATAAGAACACATTCAACAACACAAAGACTAATGTGACACCAGCAGAGTCTAGATTTTTCTACACCAGCAGGACCGGAACATCCCAACATGGGTGAAGCATGTTAGATGCCCTTCATTTTTCTTACTCTCATTTGTAAGCATGTAGATCACTGGACTGTTCATCCCTCTAACAGCATGAAAGAGGCTGAAGTTACCGTTTTAATACATGATTTCTGAATTGTCTTAGAAAGTATACTGAATTGATATTGGGATATGTAATAATTACTACAAGTTTTGTACCAAGTCAATGATGCTATGCGATGTCCCCTCTTATGTTCATGTGGTTTTAATGTCAATGCATCACTATGAGTAGTCAATCTAAGTATAGAGATCATTTTCTACATGTCTAATCACTAAGTCAAAATCCTAGTCAAACAAGGACAGGATATTTTCTCTGTTGCTGCCTGGTCACAGAAGAACCACCTTCCCTAATGGTTTTCTGACACCCTCAGGATGTGGGTTTCACACTGTGTCTTTAGCAAAGTAATGTGTTGCTGTGTCTTCATTCCTGAGGCTGGTGGTCTGCAGGTAGGATCTGTTGACAGAGGTGTCCAAAGATAAGACAAAATATCTTTTGAAGTCATCAGCATATGTTGGATTCCCAGTGTAGGTGTTGATAAAGCCCATCCACTTTCAGCCATGCCCCGGTGCCTGCTTCACCAAGTACATTGTATGATCTGTGAAGGTATACCCTGACGCCTTGCAGGAGATCTTCACTGACTGTTCAGGTTGCTTCAACTCAGCTCCTGACTGCACCAGCTGGATCTGTGCTTGGACACCTGTGGAGAGTATATGGGGAAGTGAGAGGTCGTGTATCTGCCTCAGTTTAATTTGCAGCTCTTGCCTCTGGCATCTTACTTTGGGCAGCTGCCAGCAGGAAAAGGAGCCTCCATGGACACTCCATGATGAACGAGTTTGGACACTATACTTTCCTGAGACTAATCAGTCACTCCCTTGCTGGTTGAAGGAGTTGAGCCTCAAATTTCTACTCTAACTGCATTGCACAGAGCTCATCTGCATATGACCAGGAGTGAGCAAAATGTAAGGTAAATACAAGGGTTAAAGTCATCAGATGGGTAACACTATGTCTTTCAGTGTCTGGTGTGTATGTTTTCACGCTGGATGTGTTGTCCCCCAAGGCCTCTCCTTATACTGTGTCTGCACACTGACATCTTCCCCTGTGCAACTCACAGTCTCGCTACTTGTTCCCAAGGCAAAAGCATTCTTTGCCCACTATTCATCATATGTGTCTCATATTAAGAGTCAGTAACTACATCCTTACCAATGAAGACTGCCCTGTGCACACCGAGACCTCTGTATTACTCTTTCCTTGCCTGCTGCATCTAAATGTGAGCTGTTCTAGAACTCTTTTGGTTCTCTGCATTCCTATATCAGCATCTAAATATTATTGATGAATTGATTAGAAATAAGGTACATTTGTATTGAATCTCAGCTGGGCATTGGGGCACATGTCTTTAATGCCAGCACTCCAGAAGCAGAGGCATGTGGATCTGTGAGTTTGAGGTCAGCATGGTCTACAGAGCGAGTTCCAGGACAGGCTCCAAAGCAATAGAGAAACCCTATCTCAAAAACCTAAGGGGAAAAAAAGGACTATTAAATTTGTCCTCTTCTTTTACATAAGTCATGTAATAAATGTTATAAATTTGAAACAGAACAAAAGGTTCCATGGAGAGGTTTGAAGGAAATGATATATTTATATTAATATAAAAATTAAAAATTATACTAAAAGTAGTGAAACAGACTTATGACAAAGATGAGTTTAGATATCTGATGAGATGGATCAGTATTTAAATAAATTGCCTGACTTCCAAAAGAACTGAGTTTGATTTCTAACAGGTACATCAGGTAGCTCACAATCACATAGAATTCTGGCTCCATGGGGAGCCTACTTCTTTGGCCTCCATGGGCACCTGCAATCTTGTTCATGTACCTACACAAAATCATGAATACATAACTAGAATTATAAGAATTGGAAAACAGAATAGTTTAATAATAAATCACCTGATGTGAAAAATATCACACTGAATTACAAAATCTGGATTAATTACTTGTAGTGTTGTTATGGAAATAAATATGAAGGAATTGCAGCACAGACCACATGTTCCTGATGATTTAAAACCTCATGACAAGCCTATGCTAGCTTTCATCTCAGCTCTGGTCTTTTCTCAACCAATCTTAACCAGACTGCTTGACATTATCAGAATCTGATTCTATCTAATTTCCTCATTGATGCTTGCACTAAAGTATTTTGACTGTAGAAACTGACAATGTCTGGAGCCATCAGAAGCAGAGCTATGAACAAGCAGCTGAGGGAAGAGAGTTACTAGGGATGTCTGGCATCTGACTTACACTAAAGGGAGCAGGGTTGTTTAAATGTGGATGGGGGGGTCTCTGCTGATAGTTTGGACTAAGGACAGGCAATTGTAATTTGTTGCAAAATATAAACAGAGGGTGGGTGACAGGAAACAAAAGAGATGAGTACCAGATGTTTGTGCACATAAACCAGACATTTGTACTGCACATCCCATGCTCTGGAAGCACAGTGCTATTTGTCAAAGGAAGTCAGCAACTTCAGGCTTCTTCTGGTTACTTCTGCATAATGGGCTGGGGGAGGAAGCCAGGGCTCACAGGAAGTGATCTCTGGCCTTATAGACTTCTGTTCAAGGATACAATTGACACCATGGAGATTTGGTGCCCCCTGATGTGACACTGACTCCTTGCAGCATGCTGGCCCCACCCTAATGGTCAGTAGATCAGGATCACTTCCCATACACAGAAGGATGTGCTGTCTCAGAGACACTCCATGATTTGGACATTGAGCAGATGAGACTTGAGAAATACCCTGATAATTTCAATTTATCCTTAAAAATAATATTTTGTTTAATTTTGCCTATTGTCATGTGGATCACATGAGCATACATGACTTCTTTTATCAAGTGAAACAGTTGGTCTACAAAGAGCATTCACATGTAGCCCTTGCCAGATATTGAGCTCATCTGTAATAGATGATTAAATTTCATTTGTGATGTTACTTAATTTGTGTTACAAGTGGACAGAGATGTGACATAGTCTAGAGTCTTAGTCTTAGATGTTTCTTTCCACATCTCACAGAGGACAAGAAAAAAAAAACATTTTTATCTCTGTTGTCCTCTGTACTTCTAACTGTCTCATTAAGGCATCAACTCTTAGACTCACTCAGAACCACAAGGATGTGTTCTTAATGGGGGTGTATAGATATATACACTATACAGTTCATAGATTAAGTAATTTCAATTCAAAACATTGTGATTTAATTCTATTTGTTAATCATGGTCAAGTATTGTGTGAAATTCATATGATTAACCACTTATGTAACCAGAAACCTGATAATTACAATGTTCACAGTGCTTTGGTTAACCCAGCTCTCTTCCTCCTAACATTACTTCAGACACAAAGAAAGCCGTGCATCCCTTATTCATACCATGTTTCCAGGTTCTCCTCCTCATTTGCCAGCCAGTCTCAAGGGTTTATCTGGCCTTGATTCAGAGAGATGGAAATGTCATGTATAATATAATGCCCCCTGTTACTTTTCACTTATAATCTCCAAGTTCATCCACATTGTGTCATAGAAATCACTGCACGCAAGCTACATGTTGAGAGACAAGATACGATTTTTATTGAAATAGCACATAGGTTGAGTCATTCACCATTGATGGTTTCTGGAGTAAGGTATCATAGATTGTAAGGCAATGAAAATCTGTGTGAAATTCTTTTTAGAAATTCAAAGCTTTAGTATTTATTTGATATTACAATGAGACAAATTGATGGACCAAATGGTTACTATTTTGCTTGGATCTTGTGACTTTTTTCTTCAAGTCAACTTAGTAGTTTTCCCTTTCTCTCTCTCTCTCTCTCTCTCTCTCTCTCTCTCTCTCTCTCTCTCTCTCTCTCTCTCCCTCTCCCTCTCTCTGTGTGTTTGTAAACTGTTAAAGAGCCGTGGTTGTGTACTGTTGTGTACACAGAGGTCCCCTCCTCAGATTTAGTTCCCGCAGGTAAATTCCACCCCTGTCTCCATTGCCAATGGGCATGGTCTGTGCCACAGGTGTGGACAAAGTGAATATGTCATTAAAATTCCCCTTTAAATCTGAAGAAAAGATTGAGGCTTGAAACAAAACTATATACAAAACAGTGAATAACAAGTTTGCTCTAAGAAAAGGAAAATCGAGAACATATAAACTTAAGTCCTACCTATTTAGTCCTAGGATGAATTTGAAACAGGGTTTAACAATGGAGTTGTCCTAAGCTGGAAAGCTTAAGTCTAGTACCTAATATATCTAACTAGGAAGAGATAATGATAGTTGTGATAGTTTAATCTTCAACCTCACCAAAGACCTGAGAAGGAAATTAACAATACTAGGTAGACAGGAAGTGCAGATGGGCTACTTCCAAATGGTGCAGCAAGGAAAGAAACAGCAGGGTACCTGGACAGTCACCCAAGGTCTCACAGCAACATTGGTAAGCCAGTTTTCGCTAAGGCCAAGAGTATCTGACAGACCATAACAAAAGCAGGGAGGTAGAAAGGCTGTCTTACCCTGACTTGGCAGGTTTAAGCAATCTTCTATGGTTGTCTCCTACAAGCACATAGGACCATACATCCAAATCAGTGGTCGAGGTGGGGGCAGTTCTTTGCCCTAGAGGTCATAGCTGAAGCAAGGATGGACTCCAGAAGGAGCAACAACAGTGTCCAACATATTTTCAGGAAGGTGTATGGTGCTGTCAGGTAAACTGTATAATACTAATATCTCACTACTACTAAATTAATTCACAAGAAGGTAGGCTAATCTACTCATATCCCATCTAAACCATTCATTTCCCAACCATATCCTACCCATGTCGAAAATAGATACTGTTTTGCATTCTAATTTTAAACTCTCCATTGTCATTTTAATATTTTGCATTTTGTTTTTAGCTCTCTATTGTCATTTTTAATATTTTGAATCCTTATTACTAACTCTCTTATGGTATGTACAAGTTTCTTATTGTTTGCTCTAATCTCAAACCATTTCTTTAAGAATATCCTATTAATGATAAAAAACGCATTGCTATTACAAAAAGCATGTATATATTGGTTAAGTCATTATTTTCTTCTGTTAAAATTCCTTCTGTATATGAAGTAAAAGAATTCCTAAAGTCTTGCATCATAAGATTATCCACCATAGGTATGGAACAACTGATCTCAGATATTATACCAGCTTAAATTGTGTTTTGAAATTACCTTAGGTGTAATTCTGTTGTCCTGGAACTTTGATGGTTTTAGTTGTAGATCTCAACTTGTGATAGCTACCCCTGGAGGTGTACCACCAAATAGTGTCAGGCAGCAGACGATCCTTCTGATCTTGGTCCCTTCAGAATAACTCTTAACAATATAAGCCAAGCAAAATTTTGTTAAACGAAGGAGTGAAAGGAGCCTTGAGCAAATTGTTGGGACCACAGGGCTAACAGGTGTCACCTCCCATGGGAGCCCCAGGGCTGCAGGAAAACACAAGAAGAGCAGGTACCACAGGGCTCTGTGCAAATGCAACATAAGGAAATGGGCAAAAGATGAGAAGCAGTGAGTGCCTTCTCAGGCCTGCTGTGGAGGTAAAGGAGTTGTATGGCAGAGGCAAACATCCCACAAGCTGTGTCCACGTGGTTAGGCAAGGATGCTACCTGTTTGGGGATGGTGGGGGAAGGGAGGAACATCTGCTGCCTGGGTGAAAACCAGGTCCAGTGAAAATCCAGATGCCAATTCTGACACGAGATATTGATGTTTAATAAGGATCAGAACAAACAAATATGCCGAATAGATGTTTATTCAGGGAGAAATCACTTACAACATAGTCAGATAGACACCAGCAGGGTCCTGGTCCCAAGGATGCTTCTGGATGCTCCCCTGTCCCTGTGCTGCAAGCAATAGAGCTCTCAGAGACCTCTCCTCAGACTTAGTTACCTGAGGTAACATCTGCCCCTGTGTCCATCCCCAATGGGTGTGGTCTCTGCCACAGGTGCAGACAAAGTGAATATCTCACTATATGCCATATATATAGATGGCATATAGAGGCTAGAAGTAGTACTTGGATGTCTTTCGTCTACCAGGTTATAACCCATCTTGAATATAGGGTTTCTAATAAATATGAAGTTCATCAATTTTGCACAAATGATCTGACAATAAGCTGCAACGACTAATCTGTCTGCCCCTCAGTGTTAGTTCCATAGATACCCACCCTCATCACAACATTCAACAAGTTAAGGGATCAGTTCAACAAATTCCTATGATGAACCTAGATGGAAGTCGTAGAGTAATAAACTGAATTAGCAAAAAGCACAGCTGGGTCACATCTGAATTGAAGTTCACCGTTCTCAGGGAGAGGTGAATAGGGCCGGGGAGGGAAGATGAGGTTCCATACCTGCTAGGGTTGATGTTAATGATCTTGACCACACAGTCCTCCAGCATTGTTCATTCTCTAATGTCCTTTGAAGAGTGTACAAATACCCTAAGTGACTATGAAGTGACAAAGTGACATTCAGAATGATTATTTCTGAGTAAGTCCCAGGGCAGCTTCCTGCTCCTCCAGGGTTTCTGACACACTCAGGATGTGGTTGCAACACTGTGTCTCTTGCACAGTAATAGACTGCAGAGTCCTCAGATGTCAGGCTGCTGAGCTCCATGTAGGCTGTGCTGGAGGATGTGTCCGCAGTCAGTGTGGCCTTGCCCTTGAACTTCTGATTGTATCCAGTACCACCATTTCCAGGATAAATATACCCAATCCATTCCAGGCCCTGTCCAGGCTTCTGCTTCACCCAGCTGATATAGTAACTAGTGAAGGTGTATCCTGAAGCCTTGCAGGACAGCTTCACTGAGGACCCAGGCTTCACCAGCTCAGCCCCAGACTGCTCCAGCTTGACCTGAGAGTAGACACCTGTGGAGAGAAAGGCAGAGTGGATGTCACTGTCACCTGAGTGCATGGCCCCTCCTCAAGTCTGGAACCTGGAGCCCTTACCTGTAGCTGCTGTCACCAGGAAGAGGATGATCCAGCTCCATCCCATGGTGAGGACCTGTGTGCTCAGTGACTGTGGAGAGGACACTGGTCATATGTTGTTGCTGATGTGGACATCCCTGTATTTACCACCATTGACTCAGTAAATTTGCATATTCATGAGCATAGTATTTCTTATATAAAGACCTAGTCCAGCTCGAGAGGAAGGAGGTACGGGAAAACTTTATCAGGCAGCTGGATGCTGTGATCTAAGTCTTCATCCTGTCTGAGGAAGAAGCCATTCCTGAGACCTATGCAGAAATTGAGGTTAAAACATCAAGGCATAATCTCTCATTTTATAAATAGAGTACCACTCAAGTGATTAGTTCCTTTTCCTGACAAAAGTGATTCATAGGCAGTGGTAGTAATGAGGATCATTGTCCATGAGAATTTCAAAAACTCCTAAATTGGGAGAATTTCCACATTTCCTTTATGTATAAAATATTAACATTTTCTGTTTTAGCATTTGTAGCTATGTGTTCCTGGTGACTTTTTTTTTTTCTTTTCCTAGATCATTTTCTACTTGTATATTTGCTTCCTTTCTATTGAGAAAAGGAAAGGTTTTGGGGTACTGGTAGTTATGGGGAAAAAGTCTGAGAGGAGTTAGGAATGGAATCTCATCAGAATACATTGCATGAAAATGTTTTACAAAATAAAATAAATATTTAAAAAGTAAAGGAGAAAGTTAAAATCTATACAATATTTAACAAAATTTTTTTACTGTGTGTGAAAACTGTAGACTTCACATATCAACTGTATCAGGTGTTGTTCAGGTAATGGACTCTCAGAAGGGAGTCCACAGAAGCTGTGCAGTTTCCCACAGCCCTCGTCTGATCTCCTTCCTAGTGATTAAGGCTCCAATGTGTCCCCTTCTGTGATTACACTTTTTATCACTGTTTTCTTCCTGACTATATCACCAAAAGTTAGACTACTAGCAACAAACTAGTCACAGCTTCAGACTTGCTGTGGTTCCTACGTGCTGGCCTGGTTAAAATCTGTTCTCACTGACCATAGTCCTGAGTCCCTGGCTTTGTATGTAAAGGCATGCAGGCAATGTGAACAAGAAAACAGCAACACAAAGCAGAAAACTGAGATAAGGAACTCTGATGCCAAAAGTAGGAAGATGGAACAGAGACCTCAATGACATCACCTGGTTTGTGCACAATGCTCACTCAGACATCCCCACAAACTGAAGGTCCACAAAACACCTGCAAAGGAATCACTACATGGGGCACTGTAGTGCAAATCTCAAACAATCATTGTGTGAAAAATATTAACCACCTGTTCCCTATTACACACATTCACATATTGGAAGCTTGAAACAAAGAAAACTTATTTTTCCACCAACTTTGAAAAACAACATTAATACATGGAAGGTGTGGCTTCTCCTCAATGTGTAAGAAAATATAGAGAATTGTTTTCACATGACTTAGAATTCCCTGAGATTTCCTACTGACCTAATAACTATCACCAACTGTGAGAATTACATATTAATAAAAAATATGGATAGGTTTATTCTTATGTTTATTTCATCAGATAGAAGGTGCCAAATGGATGGTTGCTTGAGATGCTTACTGATAAAAAATTGACACACTTATTAGAAAATGACCAATACTAGCTGTCATAGAACATGACTCAGCAAAGGACCATGAGAGGAGAGGTTTGCACAGGAAGGGGAAGCCACTTATTCTAACACCTAAACATCCTTAAGCCTGTTTGTGAGGAAACACACAGGACAGTCCCCAACTTCTTACACTCTAAGGGACATCTGCTAGTGCTGAGAAGCCTCAGGATTTCTTCATCATATCTGTTGGTCTTGAGCACCAAGAAGTTTGTGGCTAAGTTCGCACTGAAGTCTCCTTCTTATGTCTTTGCAAAGTAAGACATGGAAAGTTGTTCAGATTTTAACTATTGGATATTAGAAATACTATTAATACTGGTTCCAAATTTGAAGCTGCATCTCCAAAATATCAATACTACAATACCACGATATCTAAATGTTCTGAGTCTTGACTTATCTGATTGGTTGTCCATCTATTTCTTCATTCCTAGAAATCTCTTGTTTGAGTCCTTGTTTATGTATTCATGATCTTTGGGAAACTGAGGTAGAGAATTTTCATAGCCACAGAGAGGGACCCGTCAACTCTAAGTTGTAAGGGGTTTCAAACAAATAGGTACTGTGCTTCCTTGTTTGTGATACTCGGATAATTTCAGGGATAATGTCCACACTTAATATATCCTCTTTGGTTTGTCCCAAATTTTCCTAATTATAAGACAGAATTTTATAAACATATCACAGATCTGAATGTCACTGTGGTTAACTGAATCAGAGGAACAATGCAATGAGACAACTTACTCTGCTGAGTTAGCTTTGACTATGTGGGTGAGACCTGTGTTTGAAGATCTACACTTGGGTTGTATTTCTATTCCTAGAACACTCTATAGGAGGAGATCACAAAACACAGACATGGGTATATCTGCATGTACTATTTTATGTACTCTTCTATATCAAAGGAGAATTATTCCACTACAAATTATAAAATATTAACAGTGTGAATATGTCTATTTATTTAATTTGATGTTTTCTATCCTAGCAAAAATAATGATGTATTTTCTTTCACAAAATATTCAATCATGGGGAGGCAGGAACCACTGATATCACAATTTTTAGGACCCTCAATCATACACATGTGACTTCAAGAAACACACTAATCCTTAGCTCAAGGATAAGTCCCTCACTTGGTAGGTCATATAGCTACATTAAAATGTGAACCCAATACCATTCTATGTGTCATTCCTCCAGCACCACAACCATTGCTTTGGGTGAACAGGCTAGGATATACTCTGAAATACAGATTTATGAATACATGTTTATTAACATGGAGGTTATGGACAATAAAAAGTGGGATTACATTTAGTGTGACAACTATGGTCATGCTGAGGTCAGCTGAGATCTGAAAAGGTGTTTAGATGCATATGTACATCGGACAATTTCAGGGATAATGTCCAGATTTCAAATATCCTCTTTGGTTTGTCTCAACTTTTCCTAATTATCAGATAGAATTTTGTAAACATATCACAGATCTGAATGTCACTGTGATTAACTGAATCGGAGAAACAATGCAATGAGACAACTTACTCTGCTGAGTTAGCTTTGACTATGTGGGCAAGACCTGTGATTGAATGAATATATATATATATATATATATATATATATATATATATATATATATATAGAGAGAGAGAGAGAGAGAGAGAGAGAGAGAGAGGACTGGAGATATCACTTAGATGGTATAGGCTATTTACACAACAAAAAGGCAAAAAGGACAGGAAATATACCCATACCCATCTTGAGAGACACATTTAGAAAGATAAAATTTGACGTTACAAAAGAAAAGCATTTCAAGATCAAAGTAAACAGACCTCCTGTCTTCTCTTTGCTTAGGGAGTGGGAAGCAAAGGCAGAGGAAACCAGGTGTTTTCCTTGCCTGCTCTGAGAATTTGTTCCTGCAAGGAGGAAAGGATCCTCAACAAAAGGTGCTGGCACAACTGGGTGGTGGGTAGAAGACTGGTGGATAGAAGACTGCATGTCTATCGTCATGCACAAAACTCAAGTCCAAATGGATCAAAGACCTCAACATAAATCCAGCCACCCTAAACCTCTTAGAAGAGAAAGTAGGAGGTGCCCTTGAACAAATTGGTACAGAAGACTAAGATCTAAAATTAACAAATGAGACCTCCTCAAACTGAGAAGCTTCTGTAAGCCATAGGACACAGTTGACAAGACCAAACAGCAGCTCACAGAGTGGGAAAAGTTATTTACCAACCCTACATCTGACAGAGGGCTGATCTCCAAAATATACAAAGAAATCAAGAATCTAGTCACAAAAACACCAAATAACCCTATTATAAATGTGGTACAGAACTGAATAGAGAATTCTCAGTAGCAGAAATTACAAAGACTGAAAGACACTTAAGAAAGTGCTCAACATACTCTAGCTATCAAGGAAATGCAAATCAAAACAACTCTGAGATACCATCTTACTCCTGCCATAATGGATAAAATTAGACACCAATGACAACTTATGCTGGAGAGGGTGTGGCAAAAGGGGACACACTTCCACTGCTGGTAAGAATAGAAACTTGTACAGCCATTTTGGCAATCAGTATGGTGGGTCCTCATGTCCCTAGGCTTGGTTAGGGCTCAGCTCCCCCTGCTGATCAAGAGTTCCTTTCCAGGAAGGTTTGTGTCTGGGCTCACACTGAAGTCCTCTCACAACAGTGAGCCTCTTGCACAGTAATATGTGGCTGTCTCCTCATTGGTCATAGAGTTCAGCTTCAGGAAGAACTGGTTCTTGGTTGTTTCTCTGGTGATGGAGATGGGGCTCCTCATGGTGGTGTTGTAGACAGTTTCTCCATTGTGGGTTATGTACCCCATCCACTCCAGCTTATTCTATCAGGACTGCCTGATCCAGATCCAGTAGTAACCACTTTGCAGTAACCAGTAACCGAGCAAGTGAGGAAGGTTGACAGTGAGGGCTTCAAAAGGTGAGGTCCTGACTCCTGAAGCTGCACCATAGACAGAATTTCTTCAAACAAGAATAATTAATACTGTCAAACATATGATGTCACAACCCCTCGTGGACACATGCATGAAATGGTCACACTCACCAGGAAAGGCTGTCTCAGGTACAGAAGGCCCAACAGTCTCAACTTTTAGGCTACACCTCCTTTTCTCAGAAGTCAGCCTCCTGTGAAAGAGATGTGAGTCCTCAAAGCTCAGGAGGGAATTTAACTTAGAGTTAGAAGACAGATGTGCATATAAAGACTCAGCCCTGTCCATATAAATGTGGAGCATAGGTACTGACACCCTTCGATTATTTGTGGTCCGAGTCTGGAAAGAGAGAAAATGAATCCTTTGGCCATCACAGGAAACACATCTCTCCATACCCCAGCCTCCACTTCCTAGCTCAACCTCCCCCTCCCATATGATCCTCTGCTCCTGTGGATGCCTACAGTGTCTTCTCATGATTGCACTTGAAAAAGATCATGAATATAATAACTGAATTTCTGATGTTGGTGTCATGCACACATAGGATGATGCTTTTCATTTTATTTAAATTTAATTAAAGAACTTTTTATTACCCCCTTTTATTCACATTTAATCACCTCTCTGCTCACCCACTTTCTTCTTCTTTCTCTCAGTTACAAAGACAGAATCAGAAAAATCACAAATAAAAAACAAAATCCAAGAAGTCCATGTTTTGTTCTTAAACTATTCCTTCCCTAAGTGTGGTTGTCACTTTAGTGTGGAAAACTGACTTCCTCCCAGCAGTTGTCAATGGTGAATGGCTTCATTGCTGAGAGTGGGTCTTAGTGCCCCTTGTCCCTCCTTCATGCTTGAATTTGTCTGCATTTACCTTCTGTGTATCTTGTTCATATAGTCACAGTCTCTGTGAGTTTATATGTGTCCCCCAATCCACAAACACTGCTTCCTCTATGCTGCCCCTATCTTACATATTTGTGTGTTTTTCCAGACAAGGTGTCTCTGTATTGCTTTGTAGCCTGTCCTGGAATTCGATCTGTAGACCAGGTGGCATAGCTTTTGAGTTTTCCAATCGCAACAACCACTCTTCTTCATAGATCCCTGAGCACTGAGGGAAGGATTGTGAAAAAGACATTTTATTTAGGATGACCATGCAAAATCCCTCCCTCTCTGAAGGTAGATGAGTTCAGGATTTAATTTTTGCTATTCTTAAGCACAGTGAGCATATTGAAACAGAGATTTGGAGCAGCTGGTTCAATTCTTCTGCCAGATCTATCTTCTCTGTCACTGAGATATGGCCTCACTATGAAATATTGTCAGTTTTCATAACAAGAATCTTGTGTAACATTCTTTAGTATACACTGTGTCATGCCACATCTGATATAAAACCACTTTTTATGGAAAGAACTTGGTCTCGCCAACGTTCATGATCTCAGTTAATGGAGTCTTCCATTTCTTTTCTTCCTTCGTGAACAGAAACACCACCTTCTTTTCCAATCTCCATGTTGTCTCTACATTGTTAAGTTCCAATCCTGCATCCCTTTAAGAGTTTGGCGTTAAGGTGGTGTGAACCAGAACATACCCCCATTGGTACACACGTGTGAACACCTGGTCATCAGATGGAGGAACTCTGTGGAAGGTATTAGTATGTGTGTCTGGATTGGAGAAAGTGAGTCAGTGGGAGAAGACTTAGAGGCTCTACAGTTTTCTGGCATTTTCAATGTGTCTGCCTGCTTTCTGCTTATGAATCAAGTTGATAGCTCTCAGCTGCTACTACACTCCCTAAGCATCTGGTTTGTACATCTGGGATACCAATGCTTGAAAACTGTAACCCCAATTAAATGCTTTATTTGTAAGCTGCCTTTTTCATGGTGTTTTATCAAAGCGATTGAAAAGTAACTAAGACAGACATTTTCACCCATGTTGCACAGGGACTGTTAATCTTCCAAGACAAAGCTGAAATTCCATGGCTTACAGAAATGAGCAGAGTGTGTCAGAGCTAAGATGATACCCACATACCCATCGTGATCCCTATTAGATTTAGATAAAATAACAGATTGCATGTGAGAGATTTTTCTAGTTGAGAAGATATCATTTCTCATGAAGGTTAGCATGTGATCAGATGCTTATGTTCAATGCTTTCTTGGTGGTATAATTTTATATTCTGGTCCTGTGGAAGACAATAAACCATACATAAAATGCCACCACCACACAGACACTGACCTTACAAAGGAATTAATTAGTACAAATTCCATGAAGAACACAGAGGAAAGTCATTAATAAAACTGCATAGCAAAAAAGAGGATGTCAGATCTGAATCTGATATTTATACTTCTCAGTGATGGGAATGGAGGTTTGAGTCTTGGTAGGGTTCGTGTGCCCATATCTGTGCCCCACTTTCCTCTTGATGTCCCCTTAAATATAAGGGCATCTCTAATAAAGAAACCTGTAGTGCACTTTGCCGAAAATATGTTGGACACTGTTGTTGCTCCTGGTGGAGTTCATTCTCGCCTCAGCTAATGGCCTCTTGGGCAAAGAACTGCCCCCACCTTGACCACTGATTTGGACATGCAGTCCCATGTGTTTGCAGGAGACAAATATAGAAGACTACAGGACCTTGCCAAGTCAGGGTAAGACAGCCTTTCTACTTCCCTGCTGTTGTTGTGGTCTGTCAAATTCTCTTGGCTTTAGCCAAAACTGGGTGTACTAAAGTTGCTGTGAGACCTTGGGTGACTGTCCAGGTAATTTGCTGTTTCTGTCCTTGCTGCACCTTTTGGAAGTTTCCCATCCACACTTCCTGTCTACCCTAGTATCATTATTTTCTTTCTCAGGTCTTGATGAGGTTGAAGATTAAACTATTATTCTCTACCTAGTTAGATATATTAAGTATTAGACTTAATGTTTTCTAGCTTAGGACAACTCTATTGTAAACTCCGTTATGCCTTCACCCTAGGACTAGATATGTAGGTCGTTTTGTTCTCAATTTTCCTTTTCTTAGAGCACACTTGTTATTCACTGTTTTGTATATAGTTTTGTATCAAGCCTAAATCTTTTCTTCAGAATAAAAGGAGAATTTTAGTGGGATATTCACTTTGTCTGTGGCACTGACCATGCACACTGGGGGTAGAGCCAGGGGTGGAAGTGACCTGTGGAACTAGGTCTGAGGAGGAGCCGGGCAACGCTCTCTTGCTGGCGGGACGTGGGTAGGAGAGCATCCAGTGGAACTTGCTGGTGTTCGTCTGTCTAGGTTGTAAGTTATTTCTCCCTGAATAAACATCTATTCAGCCTATTTGTTTATCCTGATCCTTATTTAACCGCAACAGAAATCTGCTTGATTATGAGAAATAAAAGACACAGGAATACCCTTGATCTTCCTCCTGTGATTTCAGTATTGAAGCTAGAGATGATTGTACCCTCATTACTGTCATTTTGTTTTTCTGGGCCGCTGCCTCTTTTCTCATATTCTTGGTTGTGAGCCTTTAGTGGCTGAGCTATCTCAAACAAATATTTTGAGAGACTGTCTGGGAACTGTAAGATGGAAGACAGCCTGACTGCTGAGAGAAGCGCTTGTTATGCCTTCATGACGTCCTGGGATGGATGTGATCCATGTGTGCTGGGCGCCCCCTGCTGGCCCTGTGCAACCTCACAGACAGGTATATGTGTGGGTCCCACTGAGATTCCCTCACTGTGTGTCTAGCACAGTAATATGTGGCTGTGTCCTCAGACTTGAGACTGTTCATTTGCAGGTACAGGGTGTTCTTGCCATTGTCTCTGGAGATGGTGACTCGATCCTTAAAGGATGGTGCATAATTTGTGGTACTGCCATCATACTTAATTTCTCCAATCCACTTCAGAGCCATGTCAGGAGTTTGTCTGAACCAGCTCATCCAGTAGTCACTGAAGGTGAACCCAGAGGCTACACAGGAGAGTCTCAGGGACTCCCCAGGCTTCATCAGGCCACCCCCAGACTGCACAAGCTTCTCTTCACACTGGACACCTGAAAACACAGAAATTCCCGTCCAAGAAATTGTCACACATGTCCATTGTCCCTTATATTCATGTCCACTCACACATTCAGCATCAACTGCTCTCCATAATTACCTTTTAAAAAAGAAATAAGGAGAATCCAGCTCAGTCCCAACTCCATACTGATCCCTAAGTGAAGTCCTGGGATCCACAGCTGACCTGCTCTGCCTGATCTGCAAGGTCAGGGCTGGGCTGCTTTTCATGAGTAGAGAGAGCGAGCACATTTGCATGTCCTCCTGCTATATAGGAAGCTCTGTAGTGGTTCCTGGATATGGCAGGTTATTTGGTAATGTGATGGAGTTTAGAATGCTAATGTTGAAAAAATTGGCATAAAAGTACATTGCTTTTTTTCCAATTGTCATCTACTTCCTTTTGTATACTTGTAAACAAAAGACAAGTTGTAATGTTCATTTGAACTCCACTTTCCATGTTATGGTTTATAAATAGAAGTAAATTTGCTTTCCAATGCTCATTTCGTGTGGGCCTCACAACTGGAGGACATAAAACCCCTGGAGACTGGTCCGTATGCGTGTAGTTGCTTCCTCTGTCTTCAAACTCCCTCTCTGTGGTGAGATATTCAGGCATGCCTAAATTCCACTGTTTAGCTAAGCACATGCAATTAAATTATTTTCCTTTATAAGTATTGCCATCATCATGGTGTCTCCTCACAGCAATAGAAACCCTAACTAAGACAGATATCATCTCAAATTTTATAAGGTTATCATCCAAAGCACTGATGAAATGAAGGCATATCCAGGACTTGGATGACATGGAAGCCTCATGCATTGCTTGAAGGAATGTAAATTAGTGCAGATCTTAATAGGAGAAGAATGGAGGTTCTTAAAATGCGGTTAACAGAATTGCCATGGGGCGCTGTCCCACCTCACACTGAGAGCTCAGAATCCCAGGCAATGGGGAGTTTGTATGTAAAAAGGGCTTGTCCAGTGCCTCACAGAGACAGGACCTGAGCCTGGTTGAGTTCACAGGGGCTGGTCTTCATGTTTGTTAGAGAGGACCAAAAGTTTCATTTTCTGGTTGAACAATAATTCGAAGAGAAATCTGGCACTAGGGAAATGTCCAGGAACCTACAAGGAGGACCCCAACTAACAATCTGAGCAATAGTGCAGAAGCTACCTTAAATGCCCTTCCCTGAAATAAAAATTGATGAGTACTTTATATGCCATCCTAGAGCCTTCATCCAGTATCTGATGGAAACAGAAGCAAACACGCACAGCTAAACACTGAGACAAACTTTTGGAATCCAGTTGCAGACAGGGAGGAGTGATGAGCAAAGAGCTCAAGACCAAGCTGCTTAAAACCACAAAGACATCTGACCTGAACAAAGGGGAGCTTATGATCTCCAGACTGATAGCTAAGAAACCAGCATAGGACTGACCCAGACAGCCTGAATATGGGTCTCACTTAGAAGGCATGGACAGTCTATGGAACCTCTGACAGTGGAAACAGGATGTATCCCTAGTGCAATAGCATACTTCAGGAGCACATTCCCCATAGAGAGACAAGTGACAGGAGGGAGGTCCTAGTCCCTACCCCAAATGACTTGACAGATATTGATTATTCCTCCTGGAAGACCTCACCCTCCTTGGGGAGTGGATGGGGGAATGAGACAGAGGTTGTGGGGGGCATGGGAGGATGTTAGGGAGAGGGAACTGGGATTAATATGCAAAATAAACAATGTAAATAAAAAAATAAATAAAAAAGATCACTGGTGGCTCTTTTGGGGACTGAGATTTAGTTACCAGAACCCACTTGGTGGCTTATAGTCATCTGTAACTCCAATCACTGGTGATCTAATGCCTTCTTCAGACCTCCATGAGCAGGACGTACACACATTGTGCACAAACAAAAATATAATAGAAAAAGAAGTTGGAGATAATGAGATGAATTAATAAATGTACTGTTGACTGACAACTCATATATTCTCTCATCTAAAGTCATCAGGGAGTGAAGCAGGCATTAGACCCTGTAAAGACTACCAGTCCCTGGTCACCTTCCTCTTGTACTCTATTCTCTACTCTGTACTGTAACAATTACTAACACTGTAATAATCAGAAAATCCCATTGAGGATCTACTCTGAATTTCTTATTCTGTCCAGGATCCATGTGTTTCTTCAGATCTGATCCCATTTCAGTCATATCCGTTTCAGTCAGACACATTTCAGTCAGAATAGGTGTGATTTGGTTAGTTTATGCTCTTTGTTCCTGTGGCAAACTGTCATTTTAAAACAAAGATCGCAGTCAAACAAATCACAACCCTTAATGTTCAATGACAATATAGGTCTTGCAGACTGGAAAACCTGAAAAAGACCTCGTGGAAACCCCCAGTTGAGATCCAGCCCCCACTCCAGAGTGGAGCTCTCAAGTATATCTGCTCTTGCTCTTGGGTCTCTTCTCCTCTGTCAGTGCTGAGCACACCCTGATCATCCTGAGCTTGTTTCTGGGAGATTTCATCAGGACTGAAACTTACGTCCCCACACTATGTGTCTTACAGCATAGTAAGTGTTCATTTTTTACCATTCTCCAGATTACCTGAATATTGGACATCTGTGATGGTTTGGGTTAAGTTTCAATATTAAGACTGTTGATATATCTACCCACCTCTCTTTAGTAAAGGATTGATTGTTGCTTTCAAATTTTAATCTTGGGGAACTTATTGCACTGTGAAAGCAACTGTTTTGTGGCAAATAAATAGACACTGGATTGTGGCATTTCTGTTTTTATTCATGTGACAATCTTAAGTTCAAGAAAAAAAAACAGCTACAGTGGTCTGTAATCATGTTTTTCTTGGTCCCTTCAAGGGAAATGTTACAAACATATTGAAAACACGATTTCTTGTGGGTAAGTAAGAGGAGGAAATGCTAATGGACTCAGGAAACTCCATTGATGGAGTCTCTCTGCACCTGCTTTTCTAGTCCCTTCTTAATGTGTACTGTGAGCACCACCTGCTTAACTTCATTCCTATTTAGACAGGGTTGATCTTGTCTGGGATTCAGGTTCTAATATGTCACTTCAAAATCTGGCTGCTGAATGCTGCCTGTGGTAGTTTGAATTCTATTGTTCCCATAAGCGCATATGGAGTGGCACTATTAGGAGGTATGCCATTTTTGGGGTAGGCATGGCCTTGTTGGAGAAAGAGTGTTACTCTGAGGATGGGCTTTGAGGTCCCATATATGTTCATGTCACAAAAATCTCTGGCCAGTACCTGTTGCCTGTGTATCAAGAAATAGGAACTCTCATCTCCTTATCCATTACCATGTCTGACTCTATGCTACCTTGCTTCAAGCCGTGACGATAATGGACTAAACCTCTGAACTATAAGGGATGTACTCCAATTAAATATTTACTTTTATAAGAAATGACATGGTCATGGAGTTTCTAAGACAGAAGATGGTACTGGGGACTGAGGTATTGCTGTGATGAGCCTGACCATGTTCTTTTTTGGAGGACTTTGCACTTTGGTACTTTGGTTTAGAAAAGCAGTAGAATGATTTAAGTACTGCTTAACAGCACATACTCACAGAGTCATGGAAATTCTAAACTATAGACACATGGCTCAAGAGTTTTCAGAGACAAAGAATATTAGTATGTTTTCTAGAGTTAATTTTTTACATTTTGTTAAATCTGATATCACATACCAATTGTCCCTTTCCATTCCATCTTCTTACTGCCCAGAGCATCTCCCCATCCCAACAACTCATCCTCTAGCCGAAATGATGAGGTCTCCCAGGGGGCATCATCAAAGTCTGTCACATCATTTGAGGCAGGACTTAGGCCCTCCACCTTGTATGCAGGTTGAGCAAGATATCCATCCATAGAAAATGGGCTCCAAAAAGCCACTTAATGAAGTAGGGACATCTACTGCCATCAGACCCACTAACTGCTGAAGCCAGCAACTATCTCCCAATTTCCTGGAGTGTAGTTCAGTGTCATGCAAGTTCCTCAGTTGTCATTCCAGAGTCGGTGACTTCCACTTGCTTGGGTTAGCTGTTGTCTCCATGGGTTTTAACAAAATGATCTTGACTGTTTGCTCATATCACTTTGCCCTCTCTATGTCATCCTCCCAGTATGAATTTATGATGGAGAAGAGGTAAAAAGATCCTATTAGCCTTAACTCGGTATCAACAAAAGGGCCTCTTTGTTGGGAACAAAAGCTTTGTAGAACTCAGTTCCCAGATACATTTAGACTCAGGCCTTTTAGAGGCATTTCTTTTCAGGGTGGAGAACAAAGATGCTTGCTTCACAATGTGAGTTCTGCAGAAGGGTATGAGACTGCACCCTCTTTTTATGAAAGGGAACAATGCATGGCCTTAGCAGAACCTGCTACTTCTATGCCAACATAGCAATGGTAAATGGGGGAAATCTTGCTACAATCAAAGAAAGAAAAGGAGACACACATTAGATCATTGGCATTAGCCATGATTCCCACAGCTCAATACCTTAATGTCAGGAGTATCAGGGAGTCTATATCAATCTTATCCAGGTTCTCCATTTGTCAGTCCTGAGTCAGTGATGTCTCACTAGCTCCAGTCAGCTGATTATGTGGGCTTCCCCATTATGGCCTTGACTCCATTGCTCATATTGATCCTCCCTCACTTTGATTGTACTCTAGGTGCTCAGCCCAATGATTAGTTTTGGATTTCCACATCTGCTTCCATCTGTATCTGGAAGAGGGTTCTAGCTTCTCTGAGGTTGTGATTGTAGGCTTTATGTCTTCTGTTTTATGTCTAGTATCCACTTATGAGTAAATACATACCATATTTGCCCATCTGGCTAAGGGTTACCTCACTAAGGACGGTTTAATCTAGATTTGTGCATTTGTCTGAAATTTTTAGGATATCATCATTTTTTTAAAAATTTATTTAAATTTGAAACAAGCTTGTTTTACATGTCAGTCACAATTCAGGTGGCTGAATGGTTAAGGATATCACCATTTCTTAGTGTTAAGTACTACTCCCCTGTGAAAATATACGACATTTTATATATCCAATCTTTGATTAGGTGGCATCTAGTATGTTTTCAAGTTCTGGCTTTTATGAATAATTTTGCAGTCCCTGTATCTTTAAGGTCTCAGGTCACTACTAACCTTCTTTTCACACTTGGGTTCC